CCCTAAGAGTTTAAAAACTACACGCATCAGCATTTTGAAAATAGGAAATCTGATCCGATTTTCACTCTATCTGTTTTCTCATTTGCTTACAAATACACGCAGGAAGCTTGTGAAGAAAAAAAAAATCCCATTTTTCCCTCTCTGTTGATTATTTCTGTCGCTCTCTTTTGCTCTCTTTTTCGACTTGGTGTCTAGTGAACCAATTCTCTCTTATCCTATTGAATCTTGGTGATTATACGATTGTGAGTGTGTTAGGGTTCTTTAGTGTGTGAGCCGAGCGAGATTGTGAGAGGGGTTTTGGGGGATTTCGGGTACGGGCTGTCTTTCGGGCTGAGTGTTGTACGACGGTTGGTGGTGTTACCACTGGGCTTCCAATGCCGGAATTATTGAGGCCAAGGGTCCATTGATCGGTTCGTTGTCGGCTATTCGATGACTCATTTTAAGGGTTCGACATAAGGGGACTGAGCCTTCTTGAATTTCAACCCATCTTCGTGACATTCGGGCTTCTCGTACGAGAACACGAAAAGGGTGTATTCGTTCCTCTATTATGCTTTATTTATTTTTCAGCATCTTCAATTTGTTTACGTTTTTTGATTTGCTGAAATTTGATCATCTATTGTGTATTTCTGGATTCGGCTTGAAGCGAACAAACCGGGACAAGTACGGGCTCGAACAAGGTGTTGTCCGAGAACAAAAGGTTGCTGTTCGGGCTCTAATAGGTGTTGTCCGGGGCTTACTAGTTGCTTCCAAGGCCTACTGCGTGTTGCCGGGACCTATCGGGTGCTGCCGGGACGAACCAGAAGCTGTTCGGGACTGTTCGGGGCCAGCCCGGGCCCGGTTAGTCGAGCCAGACGACCACCCAACAGTGGTATCAGAGTCTGGTTCTTGCCAGGTCGTCTGCTCGCCGCCACAGGTAAGTCGAGTTCCTTTTCGTAGGGCTCGCTCAGGTATCTTGACTGAAACCCGTTCTCTTTATCGATTTTGTAATGATATCCCCTGGACGGGGATTGCGTCCAGGGATTACGGATTGCTTGTTGGGAACGTGCTGGTAGATTTCTAGGATCTTTGTGATTTGTGTGATTTTACCGGTCTACTGGAGGTTCCAGCTGCATGCTTGTTTGATTTATCGCTTTTGTGTGATTATCGCTTTGCTGGAGGTTCAACCGCATACTTATTTGATTTATTGCTTTCGTAGTAATATTCCGCTGTGCGTATTTGCTTTGTGTTCACTTTTGTGTGATTTGTATCTTTGTGGTACTTTAGTAGTTGGTATATTTTCTTTGTGAAATTTGCTTCGTTGTGATTTTCTGTGCAAAAACTTGTGTGTTTTTTGAAAATGGGATCCGTGTCAGCTTTTTGCTAAGTCCCGTTCGATGGAAAATCTGATTTTGGTATTTGGCAACAGAAAATGAAAGGTATTCTTGTTCAACAAAAGGTGTTTAAAGCTATTGACCTTTCTCATTCTGTGAATGTGTCGGCCGAGAAAAAGGCTAAAATTGATGAGTTTGCTTATTCTTCGATTATTCTGAACTTATCTGACTCTGTGTTAAGAAAAGTTGGTAAATTGGACTCTGCTAAAGAACTTTGGGAAAAATTAGAGGAATTATATACTGAAACTTCTTTGCCAAATAAGTTGTTTCTGCTTGAGAAATCTTTCCGGTTCAAACTTGATTTGTCCAAAGATATGGATGATAATTTGGATGTGTTTACCAAACTTGTTCAGGATATTAAGCAAACTGGTGATAAGCATATTAATGATTATACCCCTATTGTGCTCTTGAATGCTATACCTGATTCTTACAGTGATGTGAAATCTGCTATTAAGTATGCTAGAGATAATGTGAATCTTGAAACTGTTGTGAATGGTTTGAAAAGCAAAGAGCTGGATTTGAAAACCAACCGGGGTAATGAGAATGTCGATGAGGTTAATTTTGTGAGGGGAAAGCCTCAAAATCATTTTCAAAATGAAAAACCTTCGACAAATCAAAATTTTGGCAAAAAGAATGGTACGTGGAAAAATTGGTCGAAGTCTCGATCAAAAAACCGTAAGTGTTATAATTGTGGTGAAATTGGTCATTACATGAATGATTGTCCTAATCCCAAGCAAAACCAGCATAATGATCATGCGAATATGGCATCTAGTAGTGAAAACTGTTGTGTACAAATTATAATTATTTTACCGAGCACCGAATCAAATGATTCGTTTC